AATTTATTTTTTGATTTAATCTCTGAATAATCCATCGGTTCGGTTTAAAATGCCTAACGCTTATCTGGAAAAGGGCTAGTGGGATCCGTGAACTTAAAGAAGTTAACTTATAAGATTTTTTTTTCTTTTTTTTTTTAACAGTACCTGAAAGTAACTTTTAAGATTTGATTTCACTAAATCAAAAGTTTTCGCTTTTAGGCAATTAGGTTGGGCGTGAGAATCGAGGATTTACTTTTTTTTATTCCATGTTGGCATTTCCCAGACAGAAAAGATAGATGATGTTTTTTTGGATAAGACTATGAGGAGTGCTAGGGGCACTCGCCTTCTGCACTCTCCGGCCAACACTTTCACTTTTATTGGACCACGTTATTCTGGTCAGCCAGAGGTTGTATTTCAATGCTGAAACAAGCTTACGTGACCCAATGAAAGGGAAAGTGTTGGCCGGCGAGTGCCACTAGCACTGCTCTAAGATTATAATTTTAGTTGTGGGAAGAAGGGAAATTATATGATTTTATTTTAATTTATATTTTGGTCTTAATTAAGAGACTGAATCTCTAGTCGAAAATGGTATTACTTATTATTCACTCAGATAAAATTTGAGGTTTTTTAGTTTTATTCTTTTCTATTTTTTTTCAAAAATTGTATTAGTTAGAAAAAAGAAGAAAAAAGAGATTAGGTGCATTTTCCGCAGACAATAAATTGCACCAATTCTTCACTATCATCATTTTCTTTCAGGAAGGTAGACGTCGAACGTGAGCGGTATTGACCGGCAAATGGCATTTGAGAAGAGCAAGATACTGATATTTGGAGCGACGGGATACCTGGGAACGTACCTGGTAAAGGCGAGCATTTCCATGGGCCATGACACCTACGCCTACACTCGCCCTCTCAAACCAAACGACAACAACTCTTCCAAGCTCCAACTTCTCAAGGAATTTGAGTCCATGGGAGTCACCTTTTTCCAGGAAAATATTTTCTTTGATTTCCCTATTATATATAATGTGTTTGCCTTTGATGATTCTATATGTTTTGATACTAATTCTTTTGTCTATATATTGGGAATTAAAACAGGGTGAGCTGGATGACCATGAAAAACTAGTTTCTGTGCTCCGACAAGTAGAGGTCGTCATCTCTGCACTTCCAATCCCTCAATACGTAAAGCAACTCAATATTATACAAGCCATGAAAGATGCTGGCACCATCAAGGTTAATTCTCTCTTATTGTTGTCGGAGACATGTTATATCGGTGTAACTAATATTATTAAGCATCAATTCTAAAACTGGTTGAGGAAGACAACACGAGACTAACAAATTTGAGCTTTAATTAGCATCTTATGATGATCTGCGGTCGACCTCACACTTTTGTACTTACAGAGATTTGTTCCTTCTGAGTATGGAAACGAAGCAGACAGAGTGACAGCTCTTCCACCTTTCGAGGCACTGCTCTCCATCAAAAGAAAGATCCGAAGAGCCACGGAGGCGGCTGGACTCTCTTACACTTTCATCTCCGCCAACGCATTTGCAGTGTACTTTGTTAACTATTTGCTCCATCCAGAGAAGAAAGACCACCAAGTCATCATATACGGAAGTGGAGAAACGAAAGGTATCTGTATATGTCAAGGCCTGATTTTTTTTTTTTTTTTGGCTTTATAACATGGTTATTTGAACTTTTTCCCTATTAATTTTAAAGTACGTATAAATTGTTATGGCTACAAATATTGAAATAAAGTATAATGTTTAAAAATAATGAGTATAATTCATTAAAATTATTTGCACTCAAATGACACTATAAAATTAAGATATTTTGATAGATATATATGTACATGTATTTAACAGAAAGAATTGAAGTTGACTCTTTTCCTTACATTCAATATTTTGATGCAGCCGTACTAAATTATGAGGAAGATATAGCAACTTATATAGTCATGGCAGCTACAGATCCAAGAGCAGCCAACCGCCTTGTTATCATAAGGCCACCCGACAATGTTCTATCTCAACTGGATTTGATTTCTTCTTGGGAGAAAAAAACTGGGAGAAACATCAAAAGAGTTCATGTTAGTGAGGAGGAAATCATAAAGCAGACTGAGAGTAAGTTAAAAACATGGACTATTAATTAATTATTAAATGCTAATGTCTTGTGGCATGTATAAGAAATATTGTATATTTTTTCATTAATTGTAGCCTTGCCTAGTCCGGAGAACGTGCCGCCCGCGATCCTGCACAGCATATTTGTGAAAGGCGATCAGACGAACTTTGAGCTAACTGAGGAAGATTTGGAGGCGTCGAAGTTATACCCTGAGTATAAGTATACTTCAATTGATAGGCTTCTTGATGTGCTTTTGGTTAAGCCTCCTAGTAAGCCTAAGCTTGTATCCTTCGGAGCTTAGAAAACTATAATGTTATTTCACCGGTGAAATGGTTACAATAAAGACCGTGGTGTTGTTGGAATAGCATGTACCAAATAGTAGCAAGAATCACAATCCAGTAATAAAATTATATATCTTGTGCACTAATTAACGGTGTCATTTGGGAATTGCACAAGGCCACAAAATGGCCTGTTTTTAGGTTTGAACTTGTTCTCCAGATTAATTTCTCCGCACTATGGGTGCATTTCCGCATTAATTTCATTAGATATTGACTTATATAATATTTATCGGAGAAATGAATTGAGTTTAATCTTCTTCTTTTTTTTTACACTTGAGTTTTGTTACTATAAAACTAAATTCAAAAGTTAAATATTTTAATACTTTATTTGATTTATTTACATTTTTATTTATTAGGGGTATCAGAGCTTCATTGATCTTGAGGGACCTCTAAGAATGATTTTGAGAGAACACCCCAAAAAAAAAAAAAAAAACAAGAAAAATACCCACCTTTCTAAATGGATTCCAATACATTCGTTGTGAAATCCCTCTTCCATTTTTTTAGCCAAATCACTCAGCAAGTGATGAAGGCATATGGTAGGCCCACTATAGCTCAAGATCAAGCATAGTGAGGAGATGGTGTGAAGAGGCAAGCTGGACCAATGAAGAGAAGGTGTTCATGATCTCTACAGCAAGCAGTCCAATGAGAAAAAGAATGTATGTCAAGGATGTAGCCTGAGAAAGGAAGAAAAGTTAGAGTATGCAGCAAATGCTATTCACCAAAAATGGAACCTAATTAATGACCCTAAGGAAGCTGTAAAAGATGAAAAATTGATGAAGCAGCACTTTGAGGTACCAATTCCTTGTTTTATTTACTTAGAAAAAGCAATTTAGTTGCAAAACCTCCAAAATTTGTTTGAGGCAGCAAAATTCAAAGAAGAAAAGCTGTAATGAAGGAGGAGCTGAGGTTATTTGAGAAGGATGGTACATGGTTGTGATAAAAAAAAAAATGATGAAAACCAAGCACAAGATGGACAGCAAAGGGCTAACCCCAAGTTCTTAGGCATAAAAGTAACAACAAATGAAGATGAAAGGCTATATCAAATGGTAGTAAATGAAGAAGGGAGAGCTGCACAGCACGGTAGCAGCAAAGTGCAGCAAGATAAGCTGCAAATGTTGATGAAATGAGGATGAAATGAACAAAAAATGAAATGCAAACTCAAATGCAAATGTAAATGAAATGAAGGGACCAAGATGCAAGCATGCAGCAAAAGTGGCTGTTATTTTCAAATTTAAAGTGTACTTTTATTGTTTTTAATGTAGAATAGTTGTTTAGATTTGAATTTTGAATTGAGTTTGTATTCTCCTATAAATAGGAGAGATTGTAATAAGAAAATTTGAGTTGAAGTCATACACTTCTCTCCATTTTAGTTTATGCTTTACTCTTCATCATCTTCCTACCGATTCTCTCCATTTATGTCTTTGAGAAAAAAACCCAACAAAATTATTAAATTTTTATCTATTAATAGGTCTAATTATTGTCAAATATCGCACCCCTAGCACTTGTTGCACTGGATAGGGGACATATATAGTAAAGCTAAGACCTTAATTTTAATTCTTGTAAGTCCCCCCTTCCCCCATATTCTTCCCATGTTCAAAAAAAAGAAAATTATTGTCAAATATCTTTTCCATAAGTCAAAATTCAATAAAAATATCTATATCCCTAGCGAAAATAACGATTTCATCGCTGATTAACACAAAGAAAAATTGCCTGATATGGATATAGATCAAACCTCCAATGATGAAAAAACAATATCCCATAGAAATATCTAGATCAACGATGTTGTTCAGCTGGAAAAGAAAGTCGTGGATAAAATCTAGAGTTAACTATACATAATTTTGGCAGAACGTGCAATTCAGCCCATATACCTGTAATGTTGTGGCAGATCAACTCTTATATCAGAAACACTGGTAAATCAGCCTCTCTACTACATGAAATCCACAAATCACCCATTCTGTTAAGGATGATGTTAGAAAATGTC